TACTTGTTATAAGATTTAAGATTTATATATTTTATTAATTAATAAATTTATTTAATTTAATCAAATCTTTTTTAAAAAAAAAACCATGGAAAGTCAATTAAATATAAAATCCGAAAAAAAAAAAAGAAAAAAAATATTTTGTTTTTTTAAATCAGGTAAATATTATTCTTTTAAAATGTATAGAAAATTTTTCTTCAATTAAATATAAAAAAGAAAAAAATTATTTTGTTTTTTAAATCAAAGTAAATATTATTTTTTTAAAAAAATATATAGAAATGTTAAGAGAAATGAAAATATTTTCTTAATCGAACCGATTTTTTTATATATTTATATATTTAATTTTTTACTCTAATACCTTAAAGTTTTTTTTTTGACTTTATTACTCGTATAATAATAATATTTAATATTTATCTGTGTAATGTTATTTTTTAAAATAAGATAAACAAATATATGCAGAAAACATCATTATAGTAGCATTATTTTTCACATTTATCTGACTTGCTATTCTAAATAGAAATGCTGGGATATGTGTTGTTTTTGAATTGTTGTTTGTTTAGTAAAAAGTTTAAAGTTTTAATATAAATCGAAGGAAATTTTTTATTTTGTCACTAACACACCCACATGTACTTTTTAACAAGAGATGTGATATTTTCTGCATTCATTTTTGTGACTTATTTAATTTCCTTGAAAACTTATAAAAAGAATTTCTAATTGAATGTTATGCCTCAGTTCTGAATGATGTCACTACTTTTAATAAAACATATAACAAAAGATTTGAATTAATATTAAAATATTATTTCATCCTATTATTTATTAACAAAAAGCTTTAACAACAAGTTGCTTAAGCATTATTTCATTAAAGATTGTTAAAGCGGTGTATTGATTCGATCATGTGATAAACGGGATAATTCATTTATTTAATACTATTATAGGTATGTGTATGTATGTGTATAAACTAAACAATATCCGATCGACATAGTATAGTCAACAAACGGTCACCACATAATAAATAATAATACCATCAAAAATATGTAAAAATGATTTTAATGGGTCTCTCGAAAAGAATCGGTTATTTTTATTTTTATCAGTTATTGTTATTTTTATTTACGTAAACTTATTCATTTTATTTTTGTTTATTTAAGATGATGATTTATTATGTAGTTAATTAATATTAACCATATAAATAATTGGTTTGCTATTAAAAATTGATATTATTTTCTGAAATCGTAATATGCTCTGCCTCTCGAAAAGAGAAAATATTAATCCATAATAAGCTAGTTGCAAATAAAAGATTGTTTATTTGTACTATTCTAAAAAAAGATTAATGATGATATCAAATATTATTATTCTAAAAAGATTTAAATTTTTTATTCTAGTTATGACAGTTATGACGCATATTACAGTGTAAAATTTATATCAAAATTTAAAATGTTTTTTTTTGGTGTTCTTTGTGTTTTATGTACATAATTTTCTATAGCACTCAATTCAAAAATCAATTTTTAATATAAGAAATTAACGAATTTTTATTTGTATATATATTTGGTATTACTTTTGTTTTTATTATAATTATATAATAATATAAATTTGTAATTAAAAATTAAGTTTTTCGCATAAATAAATAATGTTATTGTTGTCATTGTAATTATTATATTGTGTAAAAATTATTATAATAGAAATCTTAAATATTAATATTAGAATAATTTTTATTTAGAATTTATTTCATACATAGATAAATAATTTCTTCAAGTTATGAAATCTTTGCCCCCGCCTTTTAATTTTAATTTCATTATGAATAAATAAAATTGCACATATATGCTTATTAGTAGGTGAGCAACTACTTTAAATTGTTGTATGTATTTATGTTTTTATATATTTATTTTTTATTTTATTTTTTATTATTTCATTATAAAATTGATATCAAGAAAATTCGAGGTAACGTGGCACAATTAAAGATATATATAGATCAAAAATAAAAATATTATTAGTTTAACTCATCTATTTCATCTATACATTGTCTAGAATCCTTCTATGTGATTAAGATTTATTTACAATGTATTCAGCCTATAGTACTGTTAATCCTTTTCTCTAACCATAAATCTTGAGACTCTCATTGCATACTTTCTAATTTGTTTCACTGATATAGAATTAAAGCATTGGTGACATTCTCTTGAAGACCTTTCCATGTGTAATTACAATGTTGTCTAACATATCATTTAGCAGCTCTCCAATACATTTCAATGTAGTTAAGCTCACAGTGAAATTTTGGATAGAAGATGACTTTATGTCCTCTTCAATTAATTCTTGAAGTGAAGGTTATTGGTTTTTAAAATCATCATGGGTTGCTAAGATATGTCTAGCACAACAAGTCAAGGGTCCTTCAAGAGAAACTTTAAACAAAAAAAAATTGAATGGTGATTACTTTATATTCATAAATTCAATGCAAT